AAAAAAAAAAAAAAAAAAAAGGCATTTGGCCATTTTGCACAAAGGGCCCTCTCTTGTTTACTTTTCTTTTCCTTTTTGTGTTCTTTAGATTAGAAAATCTGATTTAATGGCCTCTCTGCTCCGCCCCGTCTCTTTACGCCATTGAATTATAACCAATTTGTGTCTTTTCAGCAATTTCTAGGTTGTGCCGAACCGCCTCTCTGCTCCGCCCCGTCCCAATTCATTGTCACCCCAATTTCCGTTGTGCCGAACCGCTTTTGCTGGCTCAAGATTCAGTTTTTGGTAAATGAATCATAGTACTGTAAATTGTTCTTACCTTTTCCAACCCCAATTTGTAGTGTAGGTATTGCTCAGATTTATATTTGGGGTTTATCAATTTTGAATTTTGCCGACACAGTTTAGCATTTGCGCCTCCGTTCTGCGACTTGCATTTTCCTCCTATTCGTCTTCTGGGGTTTATGTTGTTTGTCGTGAGTGGATTGATAGATTGAATTGTAGTTCAAATCGAAGTTTATTGTTTCAAGTTGTCCTTTTTATGTCTCATGCTCTGGATTCGTTTTGCATATACTTCCTCTGATTTCTAGGGTTTCATAATTATTCCATCACGAGTGAAAATCGATTTGCTTCTGCTTAAGCTGTAGCCCGTAGGGTTTTACAGATCATCATTACTCAGCTAATTGATTGATTGATTTTAATTCTAATTGTTATCTTGTTTTTTTCCTTTCAATCCTGAAGATCAAGTTTTAGCCCTGCTATTCAAACTGAAACAAGAAAATTAAACAGACTTCAAAATGGACGACGGAGAACTCGATTTCCCGAGCGATGAAATGCTGTCTTGCCTGGACTTAACAAACACGCAGAACAGCTGTTCATTCGACATAGACGAGTTCTTGGGCCGAACCCAATCCTGCAATGATGCATTGGGCCGTACAGAGGCCTACACCGATGTAATGGGCCGGACTCAGGCCTGCACCCATGCCCATGCCTGCAACCCATCCGGGCCCGATAAGTCCCACACTCACACTTGCATCCATGTCCACACCCAAATCATGCCCTCTTCCAGCGAGAACCCGCCAAGTGATGACACGGCCGAGTCAATCGAGAAAAAGGGCAAAAAACGGCCTTTGGGCAACCGTGAAGCTGTAAGAAAGTACAGAGAGAAGAAAAAAGCTAGGGCTGCTTCTTTAGAAGATGAGGTTGTGAGACTTCGGGCCATTAACCAGCAGTTGATGAAAAGGCTTCAGGGACAGGCTCTGCTAGAGGCTGAGATTGCTAGGCTTAAGTGCTTGCTGGTGGATATCAGGGGAAGGATCGAAGGGGAAATCGGGTCTTTTCCTTACCAGAAGCCGAATAAAGCTGGGGATATTTATCAGAGTATGGCTACTCTAAATGGGGCTGGTACTTATGTGATGAACCCTTGTAATATGCAAAGTAGTGAGCAGCTGTATTGCCTGCAATCAGAGAATGCAGTCGGTGGTCAGGGCCTCGGGGGGGACTGTGGTTTTGATACTGGGCAGTGTTTGGGGAATCAGAACATTGATCATAAGGAGCTTGCTGAGTGTGGGATTGGAGATTGTGTTGGCAATGCTAATGCTTCCGGAAAGAGTAAGAGAAAAGGTGATTTTTTTTTAAACTTTTTTTGTTTTGTTTTCATGATTCTTGAAAATTTTAGCTTATCTTTTGATGGGTATGTGAATGTCTTTGTAGCTTGTTTTCTATGAATGCGGCTACTTTTGTCTTGTTGCTTTATGAAATGAGGCTCGTTTTTCATTAACTGCATTTCTTGACACATGTTAGTTGAGTACTCATTTTTTCCTCAATTTTGTTTGCTTTTTAGATTTGGTTCTCCGCCTTATTGGGTTTGTTTGCTAGTCTACTAGTCGGATTATGTTTTATTGGGGGAGAATTAGGTCAATCTTTTAGATGATACGATGCAGTGATTTGCCTCATTAGTACTGTTGCGTGATTTTTTAGAATGTGATATGATGTTTAGCTGTATTATCCCATGGGTAGACACATCTGTTGTAATATATATATATATATATACATATAGCCAGTACGACATGTTACTCATGCTTAGCAGATCATGTTATTGCAGTAAAGATATAGGAAACAATGTTTTAGATTAGTTGTCAGCTTTACGAAACTTAATATGGACTGGATGATTAGTTGTCAGCTTGAACAAAGTTTTAGATTAGTTGTCTTATAAGATATTTTTGGAGCTTAGTCATGTTAGTCTTACTTCAATTGGATAGAAATGTGATATTAATATATTATGATGTCTTTTTTATTTAAAGTTTGTAAGCCACCAAACATTTCTTTTATCTGCTGTGGAGGAAATCACCAAAACATGTTTTTTTTCTCGTGAGGTTAATTTTCTTATATTTTTCGTCAATAGGTGTTTCCCGCTAGTTGAAGTCTTGAAGAGCATGTCTAGTGGTTTTGCCCATCTTCAAGAATAGCACTTAGCATATGTTACTAAATAAGCTATGGTGGGCTCTACACTTATGACCTCTTAGTCGGGAGTTTTTCGTGTATAGTAGGTTCTTTTGTTTTTTTTAAATGACAACATGCAATGTGAAGGTGGGATGCCAAGAAGAAGCATTAGCTAGCAGGACTTGATGGAGTTTACTCGAGTTTACGGTTTTGCGAAAGCTTTTATATTAGTTTTCTCTTATTGCATGGGGACCCAAGACTTTGTTATTTCATTTGTCGCGGCTCTGACTGTAATTTTATTGGTGGCCATCTTTTTCTTGTGTACCTTATTGATTATGAATAATGCTGAGATGTTTTGAATGTTATTTCAGAAATTTTTCTTATGGAGTCATTCATCACCTAATGTATTGACACTTGTCCAATGTGTATTTATAGGACACGTGTAATACACTATTTGTGGATAAATATGGATGGCTCTATAAACTGAGTTATTCGATGACTCCATAGCAAAGTTGTATAGTCTATATCACATTTTTCTGGAATAAGTTTATTTAGTGGACTGCATCACTGCATAAAGATACCGGCAACGGACACAGAATAATCCTCTAAAATGGCCGCTCACCATTCATACACGCATTGTATGGACTTTTGATGTTATTGGCTTTAAAAAGAAATGAGTGGTTAATAAGCTCGGCTGATTAATGATGAGCTACATTATTGAGTTCATTTAGTTAAGGATCTTTGACTTGACTCGAGATTGAACATTAAAAACTTGACTCGACTCGACTCGTTTACAACTTGTGCCTATTCTGGCGCCAATTTTAGAATCTTGACGGCTTTTTCTCTCCACCCCTAAAAGTATTTCCTTTCTCTTTTACTACTATTATGAGCACAATAAGTGGATTTGATCAAAAGAGGCCTATAAGTGCTTACACGTATTATTCACTACATGGGCTCCAATTGTGGTTTATCACCATATATATAATTAATTGGCTGGCAAAATAAGTCTCTTGTTGAACAACCCTAAAGTTATAATGTGCCCTTATTAAAACAAATTTTGCTTCATCCAACAGATTTTAAAACACTTCAAAAAAATCCTTCATCTATTTATATCTCGTGAAAACAAAAAAAAAAAAAGTCCTTTCGATAAAAATCAGCAGTTAAGTTGTTAGTTGTCATCCTCATCACGATAGATGCTCTCAACCATCTGCCAAACCTGCAATGTGTTGTCCTCAGCCACACTCGAGATGACCCACGGCTCGTTTTTGTTCCAAGAAAAATTGGAAATCTTAGCTTTGTGGCCACCATGAGAAAATAGCAGCTCGGGTGGACCGTCCTCTGCTTCTCCTTCTAACTGCTCGTCTCCAACCCTTTTAAATGAGAAGGAAAAATAAAGAAAGGCATGATCGGAAAAAATATTGTATCCTTATTTTTCATTGCAGAAATAGATAATAGTTTTGAGTACAAAAAAAAAATGTACAAGTAAAAAGTAATATTTACCTGTTCAGGTCCCAAACCATCAACCTTCTGTCATCAGCAGAAGAAGCCAGAATAGTTTCATGGTTTGGATCCCACTCCACCTGGAATACCTCTTCCCTATGTATGCAAAGGAAAATCAATATGGTTCTTCTTTTATAAGCTTAGTACCCAACTGGTTATACATTGTAGAGGAGATTAAGATAACTGTTTTGCACTGAAAACAGTCGATGATATACGTAAGTAACAATACTGTACAAGATCATGCTCATATTAACTTCTTTTGAGGAATTTTTACTCCCTCGTACTCTTCTCTTATCCCTAAATGTTTGAAATAGATTATATGTGCATCCGAAGACTATGATATTCGAGTATCAATCATCAGCATGGGTTAAAATGAGATTGCTATTATTTAGGACAGGGCTTGCTTGGATATAGATTTATTGAGTTTTGATTGGTCTTTTTTTTTT